ACGCGCAATTTTTCGAATTTTCCTTGAATTTGCTACAAATAATACTCTTGTGTTTTTTTCCTAGTGTGCATTGTTTTTGTAATAATAATAAAAAAATTAGATCATAAAAGCTTTATTTGAATAAATATTTAGAAAAACACCATTCTGACGGATACAAGTGCGGCATATTCTTAATAAAGAAAAAGAGAGAAAGTGAGCGTGGTTCTCTTCCGGGGCAATGATCCCAGATGCTGACATCTCTTAAGCAACTTTGTGTACGCCCCCATATTCGGCAAAATGATACGTTCCTGGGTTCTTAATATCATTAAACGGTCCATCGTAAAATTAAGTTCGTCTTTAGATATAATACTGATAAACGATGGTATGACTTCCTAACTCTCTCTCCCGAGAATGACTATTAGAATGAGTTTTCATCAATGTTCAGGAATGAAGTTACCCGGAGAAAAAGAAAAGCACGCCCTTTTTCACTGAGTTCTACTCCCTCGTTTCGAGCCTCTGGTGAGCTGCTGCCCCAAGTCTTGCCCTTAATTACTTTCCGTACCTGCTTAAGGCAGACGAGTCTCCCTTAACACGCTGCCACAAGCCTCCAACGGAATTTGTTCTTTTAAAACGGTCCTGAACCTTACAGATCGATTCGATAGGTCTTTGTTAGTCTTTCTATATCGATCGTGCTAGCTCGTTCGGCCTTTCGACCGCTTTGGCGTTTCTGTAACTGTTGCCGATTTGTAATTTTGATAAGATCCTTCCCACAGTTGTACCTGCCCATTTTAGTCAATAAAGAGACTTAATTTCTACTTATCTTCTTGATGGTTCTCCGAAGTAGCTCGGTGGTTACCGCGTCGAGCTAGCAACCTGGGGCTCGCTTCATCACGGAAGTCAAGTCCTTTTCATGGATGTTGTGTTGTGTATTGTCTACAACACGCACGTTGGTGTGCAATCTAACTATAGGTACATTTCATCGATGGAGCTGATTTATTATATCAGTTATCTGTAGACAGCTCGTAGAGTAGTACATTGTTGATACTTCGGGGTCGGTAAATTACCTCAAAGGTGGCCTAGTTGTCAGCCTTCGCCTCTCCTCCACCTACTACTTCAAACACTGTTAGCTCCGCTTACTAAAAGGGTCTTCCGAGCTTAAAAACTCTTCCTTGTGCGATATGTCTCACGATTTATTTATTTATTTATTTATTTAATTACACCACCAACAGTTTATAAACCAATTACTGGTGGGAAATACAGTACATATATATAAAAATTACAAAATAAACTAATTGCATTGATTGCTTAGTAATTACCAATAAGAACGCATGAAAAGCTACCACTGATCATAGCTCAATTAAACTGTGGTAGCTCTAAAAAAACTTCCGCTTTACATACTCTCTTAATACTAGAAATGGATGTGTTGAAGATATCAAAATAATTCATATAGTCATTATAACATGAGCATATCGAATATAGCGGTGAGTGCAGCAGTATATTCGTTCGTGGGGTAGGTAGGTAAAAGGCAAGGTTGACCCTTGTTCGTACTCTAGGTGTATTGAAATTTAGCATAGACAAAAATGATGGACAGTGATGTTGGTAATTTATAACTTTGAACAAAAAGACTAAAGATTGTATCTTCCTTCTATCATCAAGGCTGAGAAACCTATGCTTTTGAAGTAAGTTATTTTGTGAAATCCCTATGGGAGGATAAACACCATCAGTTTTGAGAGATAAATACTTCAAGAACTTTCTGTGAATCTTTCCAATGAGTCACATGAGGTAACATAGCATGGGTTCCAGATTATCCTTCCGTATTCCAGCTTAGAAAGAACAAACGAATTGTACAGCACTGTAGGTGCTGTGGTACCGATAAACTCTCTTGAATTGCGTATAACGAATCCCAGTGCTTTGTTGGCAGAATTCACTAAATTAGTTAGGTGTGCACTGAAGCTCAATGTCCTGTCAAATATTACTCCTAGGTCCCTGAACTCCTCTAAAGTCTGAAGAGGAGTGTTGTTAATTTTATAACTATTGGTAATTGAATTTACTCTCCTAGTGAAAGTTAAAGATTTACATTTGCTCACGTTGATGGAAAGTTTATTAGCAGCACACCACTCAGACAGTATGTCAAGATTCCTTTGTAAATAAAAGCAACTAGATGGATCATCAATTTGCCAGTACAGTTTTACGTCGTCCGCGTCGAGCAGAATATTGCAGTCTATTGTATTAACTAAGTCATTAATAAAAATGACGAATAGTAGTGGACCTAAGGAAGATCCTTGTGGGACGCCAGTAGATGGAAAAAGGTGAATTGATTTACCACCGTTAAAATCCACATATAGTTTGCGATCAGACAAATTAATACGACTGAAATAATAATACCAAATTTTTGGACAAGCCAATGCTATTTAGTTTTCCCAGTAGTAAACCATGATCGACTCTATCAAACGCATCAACCTGACCATTAGAATCTAAAACACCTGCTAGGAATTGAGTTAAACAGACTAAGTTTGTTGTTGTCGACCTTCCTTTTACAAATCCATGTTGTGCTGTAGAAATTGAAGAACTTACGTTGTATTGTATGAAATTATGTAATAACATTTCAAACGTTTTCGAAAAATTACTCACAATAGTGATAGGCCTATTGTTTTCAATTAATTTACGGCTTCCATTTTTATGGATAGGTCGAACCTTGGCTTCACGCCAAATCTCAGGAAATGTATGTGATCTGATACTTAGGTTATAGAATTTAGTTAAAGGTGCAGCAAGAATAGGTGCACAATCAAGGATTAAGACTGCAGGTATACCATCAGGTCCACTAGTGAACTTGTTTTTCATTTTCTTTAATACCATAAGAACCTCATTTTCTGTGAAGCTATTCAACACAATATTGTTTGTAGCAATAATATCATCATCTGGCCTAGCTGCTATATTGGGGGAAGAATACACAGACTGGAAAAAATTAGCGAAGGCATTTGCTATATCAACAGGGTTATTGAAAACACAATCATTGTGAGTGAATTCAGAAGGTGAAAGGCCACTGTTCCTTTTACTTTTGATGAAGGACCAAAACTGATTTGGATCTTTTTTATGCAATTTTCAGTCTGCTCTATGTACTTTTTATACGCATGACTAACGTCTCTTAATTTTGGATCTTAATTCTTTAAATGTATCATAGACACTCACTTCTTGACGTTTTTTGTATAATTTATGTAGCGAATTATTTTGTTTAATATCCTTGATGATTGCGCGAGCGTACCAGGGTGGAAATTTGCCAGGCGTACGCTTAGTTTTCGGAATACACATGTTGAAAATATTTATTAGGTTATTGTAGAATAGACTGCAAGCAATATTGACATCCGCAATATATTCAAGAAATGACCAGTCCATAAGTGTCAATTGTTCATACAGTGTAACAAAATCAGCTTTGCGAGAATTGAAGGTAACATCATTTGATTGTGACCAGGTTTTGCTACGAGAGTTTCTGTGTAATGTAATACAAAGTGGAGGATGATGTGAGTCTTCGGGCAATAGGTCATGCTCTAGTCACCAAGCATGATTTGTTGGAGAACACTAGGTCAAGCAATCTATTGTTAATATTAAGAATTTGATTGTATTGTAAGAAGTCAAAATATGCTGTAAAGGAGTCAACTACATTCAATTTTTCTCTTATCTCTTGCTAAATATGGATCTGTGTACGGCGAATTTCATTTCCTCCCATTATACCTAATTCGACCGGCTTAGGACGTCGGTCCTTTTATTTTTACAGCTCCATAAAACAATTATTTTCCCAGATGGAAATTCTGCACCGCTTTGGAGGCAATTTAAAAATACAAAGTGCAGTTTTATTGGGCCCAGAGATGAAAGTACGTCAAAACAAGGGGTAGTTGGATGAGGGTGGTTCTATGATGTCGTTGTCGTTTTGCAACAGTTTCCCGAATGAGGTGGTAATCTGCCGTAGTCGCTGAGCTGTCAGTACACTAAATTGAATCCAGAAATACAACGTAGCGACGTGGTGGTGAGGTATTCGTTTTGTTGTTTGTACGTTGTTAGACAGGATGGGATGATCTGCATTGGAAGTGATGTCTTTTTCAATTACAATAAACATCTTTCCTTTGCGTGATTCCGATTTTAAAAGGAACCGACACCTAGTGGATCTCTCTTCCCCAGAAGCATACTTTTTTGGATGTTTTATGACGTCTGTAGCTTGCGAGAGTATACCTATCAGTTGTTGAAGAAATGTTCCCTAACAAACTCAGCTCGCGCAGAGGATACATCCCATGGCCAGCCCTTACCTAACTCCAGCTGTTTTTTTTTTGTGGGATTATCTTAGAAATCGTGACTACGCGAACAGACCCTCAGCATTACTCTACCTAAAGGAAAATATTCCCCAAGAAATGGCTAACAGGTGAGGCGTATTGTGACGAAAACTTTCTGAAAATTCAAGGGCCAGGTTTGATAGTGCCAGGTACGAGACAGCGGTCGTCTGGACGATATTATTTTTATGAGTTGCGTTTCCAGTATATTTTTATTCTTCCAAATAAACATTTAGTTGGTTACAATATATATTTTTCTGTAAAACGAATTTTGAAAGTGCAAAAATGTGTGGCCAATCCTGTAAATTTTACAGTCGTCTAAATGCAAAAGTATATTTTTATTCTTCCAAATAAACATTTAGTTGGTTACAATATATATTTTTCTGTAGAAGGAATTTTGAAAGTGCAAAAATGTGTGGCCAATCCTGTAAATTTTACAGTCGTCTAAATGCAAAACCCGACAAGTCACAACATTTTGGAATTTCAGTTTTATACACCATTGAATTCTTTATCTAAAGGGCTACAAACTATGCAATATTTTTAGGTCGAAACTCGACTTCTAACACGCTATTTTTAATACAGAAAATTCCCTTGAAATGCAAAAGCCGACATTTCCACGCGTCGTTTCAATTCAAATACCGACATGTCCATGTCGACCAATGAAATTCGTGTTTGGTCAATCACGTGTTGCAATCGAGGTTTGTCGCCCTGACTTGCATGCACATGTTTATTTTGCGTTGAGTCTCGAATGATTAAGGTTGTGCGATCTAGTTTGATGGTATTTTAGCCTAAAATATGAGTGAATTGCATTGCGAAAAATATAATATACTACCATCGGAAGGTAATAGATCTCGAAAGAAAGTTAAAACGCCGTCTAAGCGGGAAAATGCAAAACGCAACAGGTAAGCTAATAGATACTTGTTATAGGGTAGCAATAGTAATTTACTTGTATGTATTTTTCTAGATATTCTGCAAAATTATTGCCAACATTTCCAAAATGTGGGCATGTAGGTAAGCCGTACCAGCCCTTTCAATGTATATCACTGCTGACCATGAGAGATATAAAAATTTTTTATGACTCATTTCACAAAACATCAGAGAAAATCACCCAGGACAATTTTATATTGAAGCACTGCAGCGTTACTGATCCCAAAAGATCAAGAAAAGAACAAGAAAAAAATAAGCCGAAATATATGTCAGTGAAATACTATGTGAAAAGAAGAGATGGGCTAATGGTTAATGTGTGCAGACAGAGTTTCATGAACATTCTGGGAGTGAAGAAAGACAGGATTTTGAATGTAGTAAAACGGTACAAGGAAAGCAATGAAATGCCCAAAGAACGACGTGGAGGTGATCGGACAAAAGGTAAAAATAACACAAAGCGAGCGGCTATAAAAGAGTTTGTTGAATCACTGAAGTGCATAGAGTCTCATTATTGCCGATCTAAGACATTCAGTAGAATTTATTTGCCTGCAGAACTAAATATCAGGAAACTTTGGAGAATGCTTAACAATACCGTGGACAAAGATCTTCAGGTTATGGAGTCATTTTTCAGATACTTTTTCACCAGAAAATACAATCTTGGCTTTGGTACTCCTAAAACGACATGTGTTCAACATGCCTGCAGTTTCAAGACCAAATAAAAAAGTCATTAGATATCAACACAAAGAATCGATTAATGGCTCAACAGCGAGCTCACAAAATCCGAGCAAAGTGCTTCTATGAGCTTTTGAAAGAAGTCCATGCTGACAATGAGGTTGTTACATTCAGCTTTGATTGTCAAAAAAACCTGGCTCTGCCAAAAATCGCAGATCAAGCAGCCTACTTCAGTATGCAGCTAAACTTTTAACACTTTGCAATTGTACAGGGGACTTCTAAAGGAAAAATAAGTCCAACTTCAGTCAATTCCTATGTATGGACTGAACTAGATCATCAAAGGGGATCCAATGAAATAGCAGCAGCATTATATCATACTCTCAGCACATTTAAATTTAGCGAATCTACTAAAGTCGTTCGCCTTTTTTGTGATGGTTGCGGTGCGCAAAATAAGAACTCCATCGTCATTGGGATGTTATCCCATTGGTTATTAAAGTGCAGTACCCCCAACATAGACAAAATTGAAATATTTTTTCCGGTTTTGGGGCATTCCTATATTCCACCAGATAGGCTATTTGGACAAATTGAGAAGGTTATTAAAAAGTCACCTGAAATTACAAGTCCAGAACAATATATGAAAGTAATAGAGAACTGGGGAAGCATCTACAAGTTGGGAGTTGATGTTCCTGTACAGGACTGGAAGTCAAAAGTTCAGATAGTTATGAAACCAACATCACAGTGGCATTTCAATTTGCAAGTGTCCAAACGCATCATAATTTCAAAAACTGAAACCGGTTATGCAGTAAGAGGTGAAAGTTTCTATAAGAATGACATGGGCACCAACCAGTCGCTGCTGAGGAGAGGAAGAAAGTTGGACATCAAACCAAGCACTGTAGACATTGGAATGCCATTGAAATCGGATAAGAAGAAGAGTATCAGTAATTTGATTGCAAAACATTACGGAAGTAATTGGCGAAATGATGAAGCCTTATCATTTTTCAAAAGTGCCTTCGATGAACTTCCTCTCCCATCCACTTCAAACTCACGAGATTGTAATGAGGCTAATACAGAGTTGTTTTGTTTAGAAGAAACTTTAGATTTTGATATTTAGAAAACACAAATTTTATGTTGTTTGGAATGTGCATTTTCTTAATACTACTTTGTAATAAAATAATCCAAAAGTTTGTTCGTGTTTTGCCGATTCGCCTTGTTTTAGCCAAAGTTAATAACCAAAACCCGACAAGTCACCATGTTTTATATGCAAAACCCGACAAGTCCAAACTTTAATCTTAATTTAAGTAATTATTAATTATAACATATGTTTGGGAACCAGTTTTTCGTTACACTTTTTTTTGATAACATTTTGTTTCAATTTGCTGGTTTCTGTTAAGATAAATAGACGTTATAAACGTTTTTTGCGATTTCCCTAAAATTCCTTTAAATGGACTTGTCGAGTTTTGCATTTAGACGACTGGTATAAACTCATACATTTTGTCGTTAATGGGAAGCTTATTATCTAAATATTTTAGAAGAATTCGAGAGTATGCTGTATTTACATGAGTTAAACTTTGGAACGGAACTATCACAATTGAAAAAGGATAGTACAAAGGGTCAGCTCAAAGTTTAGTATTCAATAGACTTGAACCTCACCTCTACTTAACTATACTATAAATTTCTTCTCAATCGGCAATTTGATCGTAAATCTGGCGAGAGGCGTACGCATTCTGAGATGGAAAGAAAGAACCGGGAACGGCGGGAATTGTAAAAACCCTTTTCATCTGCTGCAAGCAGGAACATGCTGACTGGTTCTCTCGTAATTCCTAAGCCGGCCTATTCAGAGCTGCGCGGCGGGCGCACTCGGCCGAAAGAAAAGTAAATTTCTGTATTTCCGTCACGTAATGTAGTACAAGCCGGTCCACTTAAAATATGCGCCAATGGGTGCTTTTTTAAAACTCGAATAAATCCTTTCCGTTTCAAGGGAATACAGAGTGATGTACAGATATCACAGAAGGGGAAATTTTTATTAATGACAAATAAAATTTTTATTCGCTCGACTATGCTGTACACCTCTATGGAACTACTGTATTGACCACTTGTCATAAGAAAACTGGTTTGTCTGAAATTAATATACTTGCTATTGTATTTCCGTGATCGTTCTAGCTTAATCGAGTCTAGTAAACTATTACAACCATAAAAACTCATCCAACCAGATACACGTATTAATTCATATTGCAAATGATTGAACAATGGCCAATTGAACACATTCACTTATAAGAAGTGAACTAGTTACTGATGCAAACATGGGCAGTATATGAAAACATCCTTTTTTGTTTTATTTATTTTATTTACATTATTTATTTTATTTATTTATTTATATTTAATTTATTTTTATTTAATTTATTTTATTTATTTATTTTTATTTTATTTATTTTATTTATTTTCTTTATTTCATTTATTTTATTCATTTTATTTATTCTATTTATTTTATTTTTATGCGGCTGAAGTTCGATCACGTTCTGATCGAAACGGTAAAAAGGCAGCAGTGACGAAAATTTGCCATTACCACCTCTACTGACGTAATTTGGGTCCAAATAAACATAAATCGATGCGGTTTTCACGTAGTTCGATTGTATTACTGGCTTTCTATGTACTGTAAGAGTTTTATCTCCCTCCTCCAAAATCTTCCTCAAAGTGAGGAGAAACGAGAAAAAATTGATATTACATTAAATAAACCTGGAGAAATGCGGTTTTCACGTAAATTGATTAGAAAAAGCATATTTTACTTACGCTAAGTTCAAATCCGTGCTATCTCGTTCACAGATACCCCAAATTGACCCCCCTTTAAAACCTAATATTTTAGAAGCTATATAATCATCTATAGCTTTTCAAAACCGCCCAAGACCAAAATGTTTTGGAGACTTCTCGCATGAATATGATCTAGTCAGTCACACCATATCAGCCGTTTCCACAAACCAAGTCCGGAACCCTCCGTTTTTGACCGCTCTTTATTTATACATGACAAAACAGCCGAAGACCAAAAAGTTTTTGACATTTCTGGCATCAATATAATCTACCTTATCACTCCCTACTAGCCGTTTTCCGAAAGCACGCCCGGAACCCTCCGTTTTTGACCCCTCTTTATTTATACATGACAAATTTGAAAAAATCTATTATTCGTCAAAACAGCCGAAGACCAAAAAGTTTTCGACATTTTTGGCATCAATATAATCTACCTTATCACTCCCTACTAGCCGTTTTCTGAAATCACGTCCGGAACCCCCCGTTTTTGACCCCTCTTTGTTTATACATAGCAAATTTGAAAAAATCTATTATACGTCAAAACGGCCGAAGACCAAAAAGTTTTTTACATTTCTGGCATCAATATAATCTACCTTATCACTCCCTACTAGCCTAATAGATTTTTTCAAATTTGTCATGTATAAATAAAGAGGGGACGTGCTTTCGGAAAACGGTTGGTAGGAAGTGATAAAGTAGATTATATTGATGCCAGGAATGTAAAAAACTTTTTGTAAAGTACTCATAAGAAAAATGAAATATCACGAGTCGCCCCATTCTATTTAAATAATAGTCGAAGTTGGCGCCCTACTGACATCTTGAACTTTTTTGCTGCATCTTCTACATTAAAATATAGTATCCATACATCGGCCTGGTAACTTGACCTGGGGCCTCTTTGAAAAGCACTGTATGTTTTTTGACCTGAATATGAAGGAAGAAATCTTCTGGTAAACTTTGCGCGCAGAAAATTCCTGCTTTTAACCCTCCGCTCCGTTGTAAATAGTCAGATTCTCTAAAAATCCCTGGCTTCGTCTTACTCAAATCTCCCTGTATACTTGTCTCGAACTCCTCAAGCGAGAATATTGGGTACTCCAAATAAATGCTATGGAAATGGAAATTGTTGTTTTTCTTAGCGTCTGAGAAGCCAACGGGAAGTTTTAAAACAAAGTAAACAGTCCGCATGGAGAAAGATGTTTGCTTCTTATTATAAACCTTTTGTCAAAACAAGAGAATGTCTCAACTTCTTCGTAACTTTGATATGGGTTTCAGGCTCAAGGCACTCAGGTGTTGTGAGTTTTATTTATCTTAGCCCGTTTTAGATGGATTGACTCAGATTTGGTTTCTCTCTGTTAAATTTGTTGACATGGTCACCTATATCTTTCATTAAAATAAAAGTATAGATTTCGAGACTTTGAATGTCAATAGCTACTGAGATTGTTATAAATCTGAAGTACCCATTCCTTTTGTTTTTAAGCAGCTGTCATTTTGTTTTTGATGACTCTTGCATAGTAATTTCAACTAATACTCCTGAACAGCTTGAACAGGGAACCCAAACAGAGATGAAAGACACACAGAATATTTCAATATTCTTCAGGACTTGGGACCTTAATACAGTCATGAATATCACTTAAGTCGTTACATATTTGAATCTGATTGTCCGTTCTGGGAGTTTATAGACGTCATGATCCATTCAACTGAAGCTGCTGCATAGAAACAAGCTGTCACTTTTGAACTACCAGGTTTTTTCTGATCATCCATCCATGCATCCATCATGTCCATACTCTATAGAGCCCAGTTGAAGTTCAGTCTGGAGTACTAGTCTCATATAGAGAGCTATTTTTCTACTGGTATACTATTAGAATTTAGTCCTCTAGCCTTTTCTTCATAATATCGTAACGTCTGTAGATTGCTCTTTATATATAAATGTTTTGTGCCCGAAGTCTGTTTCGCCCTTAGGGAATCGCGAATATGTAACATTCTTCCAAACATTACCTTTCCTGATATTTTCATATTGGTCTAAGAAATATGGCAAAATCGTTGGAGGAAAATTGCAAGGGACGAAGTACTTGGTGAAATTCCTATACATTTAAATCGCACTAAAAGTATTCATGTTATTACAAAAAAACTGTAGTTTTGTATACTTTGTTCTGATTTTCTGAATATCTACTTCCGACACGTTCAAGAATCAATAATTTTCAAATGAAAATATGTTCAATGTTTCCTTTTGTTGCAATTTAAAAAATGTATTGTTTCTCTTTTGACACTTTTTTACCAAATATTTTGCCACTTTACAATTTACCCCGGAATATTATATTTAATTTCTACCAGATTGCCTGGATTATGTTTCCAAGAAATATTTTGAAGTAATCGAGCACCGAGAAAAAAACTACTATTCACATCCTTTATAATCGTTGCCGAAATCTGGTGCTTGGAATTCGCCTTTGCTACTATAAAAAACATGGACGGCAAGTTTTACATTCCAATATTTTTACCTGATGAAAAGACAAGCGAAACTTTGAGAACATATACTTTACAAATAATGTAAGTACAAAGCAATATCGAGGAATCTAGAGATTCTGCTCTTTACTCAAGTCTATATTATGATTTTTTATCTCACTGCCACCAGCGTTTACATAACTCCGTATATTGAAAAAGCTAGCCAACCAGCTAGTTCCTTCCGGAATCTCCCCGGATATATTCGCAAACACCCTCTTTGAGCCTCAGCCGCACATATAAATGTCTACATCTGCTAGAAATGCACGGGCACATGAAGATGTAGACATGTTAAACATAGGCGCCACGAAATATTTGTAATTTGAACAGACTGCTAGATTTAAACAAGAAAACCAGTTATTTCGGCAAATTAGAGGATAGGAGGTAATCTTACAGATCGAATATATTCACTAGATAGGCATTATCAACGCAGTGTAGTAGTATATAACAAAAAATAGGAAAATAATGGGCAAAATTCGCAAAAAGAAGGAACGTGGATTCGAGCAGAAAATAAATAAGATAGGTAACCCGAGCAATACGTAGATGCACATGCCCATACATCCAGATACGGGTGTAACCTGAGGAAACTAAGATGGAGAGCGAAAAAAATTACACACGCCAACCTACTATATATATATATATATTGTTGTCCAAAATGAAGGATAAGGTTCAGTTGCTTGATTCAACCAATACTGTCTATCGTATTAATTGCAACACTGTAATTTAGTTTATATAGGCCAAACTTCTAGGTCGCTGAAAGGCATTATAACTTCACACAAAAGTGACGCCAGATTACATCCAGAGAGATGTGCTTTGGCATCG